AATCTCGCTTACAGGCACGTAACTAAGTCGTTCCGAACGAAGAAAACTTACGTACATAGCGATCTTATCTCTATGAGCCGAAAAGCGTTGTTCCACAATTTCCTTATTGTGTTATGAAAATTTTTTGGCAAATCTCACTTACAGGCACGTAACTAAGTCGTTACGAACGAAGGAAACTTGCGTACACTTCCATCTTAACTTTGTGATCCGAGAAGCGTTGTTCCTCAATTTCCTTGATGTGTTAATTGTTCATCTTACAATACTTATAGTCGTGAGATCTTTGCGGCTTGTACCATGGCTCCCAAACATTTTTATCGAGTTTATGTTTGCACGCTGATATGTTTTCCATTATATATATACACCACTCAAAACTATAAAAACAAACACATACAATTTGTCTATTTAGAATGTTGGCTTTTTAAGTAAATATAAATATATGTTGCACTATATATTGTTTTTATTTTATCATTCATATCAAAATAACGTCATGTGATGTTAAAATAATATTATTGGATATTAAAATAACGTGTCCTACTTGTAAAGGAAGGTTCTGGAACGGTTGAACGATATTTTGAAGCACATACTTTCAACACAGGTTTATTTAGACCCTCGCATAGAAAAAATGTTCCATGTTTCGTGCAATTAAATCCAAAGTCATCATTTAACACACTTTTGAAATTGCATTTCCTTGACTTGGCAGATATTACGCCACTTTTATTTATACTGATTTCTTTTGAAAATGACGCGTTTGTAATCATCTGTACAACATTAGAAAGAGAAGTAAAAGCAAAGCAAAATTATAAATAGTTTAAAATAAGAACAAAAGTGGAATGATTATTTAATTAATCAATTAAATATATTGAAAAAAAAGTAACAATAAATTAAAATATACTGACCAAGCACAACATACTTGACCAAGATTACCACCTGGACATTGAGAAACATTTTGACCGAAGATTAAAGACTGCTACGTGGAAAAATGTTTTACAACATCTTTAAGATAAAATAGTTTTCTCGTTTGCGCACTATCTAAATATGATTTATCCCCAATTTCTACAAATTTTTTTTCAATAGATCAAGGCAAATTGTCCAGTGAACGGTAACATCCTCGAAGTTTTTTTTAAATCCATTTTCTAAAACTGTTATATAACTGTTATATAACAGTATTATATTAGAATAATGTTACGAATATACTTATTTACCATGAACTAATTCGATCTCATTAGGTTGATGCAATTTAATGGTTGATGATGGATACTTTAAACCAAACGATAAGTTTGAAGTGCTGGAGGAGGTACTTGCACTCTGCATAATGCACAAATCTGTACAAGTAATATGATTATTAAAAATATTGAAAATTTATTGATTCTCTTTAACCAGCATAAATAAAAATAATTTTAATTTTGTTATAATTCCAAATTAAGCAATAGCGCGCTAATGTTTACGCCGCCGAATACTACGTTATTGATAATTTGCTGCCAAAATATTTTCCGTACTATGACGTATATACAAGCGGAATATTATATTACACAAATATTTTAAATTATAGATCGATTAATTAATAAACGATTAATATATCACGGAGCTTATCGTTATGTTAATTATTCGGATCTGTGATTAGACTATTTTATTGCGCGTTCTCAATCCAAATCTTATTTAGATCGTCAAAAAGTTGAACGAAAAAATATCGGACAAAATATATTTAATTTTAAATATTTTTTTAATAATTGTTGCCTAGAGAGTAAAAGAAAAAGAGAGAATTAATTATTAATTATATCAAATTATTTCCCGATACTTATCACGATCGCGTTTAGAAAAGGAATTTGACGAAGCGTCTCGCACTAATACATTACTGTTCGAGTGTCGAATGATAAAGCCGTAAGTCGTAAGACGTAAACAGCTAATGTTTATGCCGCCAAGACCGAATACCATATTATTGATAATTCGCAACCAAAAATATTTTGCGTACTATGACGTATATGTATAGAAGCGGAATATTAAATTATACAGATATTTTAAATTATAGATCAATTATTTAATAAACGATTAATATATCACAGAGTTTATCGTTATGTTAATTACTTGGATCTGCGATTCGACTATTTTGCGCGTTCTCAATCCGAATCATATTTAAATCTTCGAAAAATCAAATGATAAAGCATGGGACAAAATATCTTTATTCTAAGTATCGATAGAAAAATAGTTATTATTCGTAAGGATCGCAACAAAACTATAATTTATAATTTAAATTTCTGTCACTTCTATTCTTATTTTAAGAGAGATTCTTATTTGTATTTTATCGGTTTGAGATTAATTTTAATGGATTAATGAGATTTTTATGATTAAAATGACATCAAACACGATATAATTCAGATAATTTTTACTTAGATAAAGAAAAAAAAATTTTATTTAATTTTTTAATTTGTATCTAATTAAAATTTATTCAAATAATGTCCCGCTTTTTATGTCATTTTATTTGCAAAAATCTTATTAATCAAGTAAAATTACGTATAAATTATCAAAAATATAAGAAATATAAAAATTTTATAAAAGTTTTTATATATTCAATAAATGCATTTCGTTAGATACTATTTTTGTTTCGAAGCGTTTGGTGGACAAATGAGGGCAAAGAATTTTGTTCTTCGAGCGAAAATAGTGTTAAGCGAAGCGTATCTATTGTTATGTTTATTTTCAAAAGACTTGTATAGTATTAATTATCTTATCATTTTAATTACTTATGCTTATATATAAATTATGCTTATATAAATTTATATACTTTAACTTTTAATGTGTATCAGTGCGCACTGG